GCTGTAAAAATTCTTCATGCACTCAATGCAGGAGAGGACTATCAATGGAGTGCTGCAGAAAATGATGTGTACTACTGTGATGTAATTTGGGGTAGCTCGTTTGCTGCTTGGCATGGGTTTGAGCCTAAGAGAGATGAGGGTCATGAGACCATCTTTTGGAAGGTAAACGAGGATGGGTTCTTTTTTAGCTGGGATGGATCTAGGTGGGAGAAGAAGTTTACTTGGGAAACTGATTAATTTATCTCATGAATTATTATATTTCGACTAAGCGTTTATGACAGTTCAAAAAAAAAAGATTAAGTGCTTATGATGGATTTATCATACAAATTATTATATTTGTTCACAGTTTCGTTAATTAGTTCTAAACATGATCTGGTCTTGATTTCTTCGTTTGCACCATCTTCCTTGATCCAAGTTAGTAATGATGTTCTATCAGGTGTGCCAAAAAATTATTGCTCCAAAATCTGTTGTGATCGACAAATATGCCTCAACCGACAAACAATTCTCAGGCATTTGCTTGTGGATGAGTTCGATTGTCTTATTTCAAGACTTGAATGAAATTCAATACAAAACACACAAAATATTGAACTTACAAAGAAATATGGCTTTATTAATTCAATTGAGTAGGTTTCAGTTACAAAGTGACTGATTTAACAGCTTTGGATTATGACACAAACTATTTCCTAAAACCTAATTCTAGCACTATTCCTAAATGCCGTGTTCGTTGGAGGGTTTGAATTGTGTCTCTAACTCATTTTTTTTTCTTTTTAAAGTCATTTCTTTCGACGATTTCTCCCTTATCAACAATTAGTCGACTTTGTAACTCTTAAATAATTATTTCCTCTTTCAAACAAGAGTCGTGGCTTGTCGCTTCTGGCTTTTTCTTCAGATCTTAACACGTGACAATCCTTTAATATTTTAGGTTTTCCTTGCACCAAATACTTTCATAATTTTGTATTTTATGTCCAAGCAAGTTCTAAATTAATCCAGCCCCAGGTGGCAACTGCTAATTTTGCAGACATCATCAATACAATTTTTATTTATTTTAAAAAAAATGAATTTGATATGTGAAACTATACAAATCTGCCGTTTAAAGCATAACCTTCATGGGGTACATAATTTATACTACGAATAAAGAGAGAAGAGTGGGGTTGGTGTCCTCTCCTCCTATTAGTACTTATTAGTAATATAAATTAATATTAATTTAACGTAGCAACATAACGAGTTGAAAATTTAGATATCTTGAGTTTAAATCTTAACAATCACTTGTGGTCAGATTATTTCTCATAAATATCCTAATTTCAGCGTGAATGATCTGTCTTTAACAAGGCTGAAGAGAGAATTAATCAAAATATTCTTAAATTGATCCAAATATTCCTTACCGTTGAACAAAAAATAAATAATCAACACTTCCTTAACCATTTCTCTCTCTTACAATGACCAACACTTGATTTTTCGAAGCATGTTACGCAGGTATCAATTTGCAGTTGTATCACGGGTGCCACAAAATGTAGTCGTCAAGAATACATGATGCACATGTTTCTTGCATGTCTGTGAGAGAGAAATTTCTGGAAACATGTTACATATTTTGGACTCATTAACCTGTCCTGGCTTCCTTTATCTAAATTTAGCAAACAAAAATAATATTGCTGCGACTAGCTAGGCATGGTCAATCGCTTGGGCTATCATGGTCATACTAATTAAGTTTAGTTTTTTTTTTTTCTAGATTAAAAAGATGAGGGATGAACAATACATAGTAACTCTTGGGTATGATCACGAGAGTCCTCCACTGTGGAATGTTTGGTTTGAACTATAACAACTAACTCGAAAAAGTAATCCGTCACCACAATACTACCAAAGTTAAACAATAAATCGTGTTACTTCTGTGAATTGAACCATACTTAATAATCACATGAGAATCAAAAATGACCTAGACGGATACAACATACCCCTAGACCACCACCTCGGGTGTTTAAGTTTAGTTGTTGACCCAGCTCGAATTAAGAGCAAACCTGGAATGCAGTAGCCAATCCTATTGGTAGGTCATGGTGTTGTATTTATAAGGAATTTTTAGCAATTTTTATCAATTTGTTAGAAACAATAATAAATGGATATACATGTGCGGGATAGCCGATCGAAAGCCATACAATCTTTGGACTTTTATTTATAGCGTGAAATCAAGTTACACATTTCAAACCGCTTTGAATTTAAATTTTGACAATTTTTTAAAGTCAAATTTTGAAAAATTTATTTTTTATGCATATCGTAGTTCTATTGTGGATGGTCTGTTTTTTATCGGACCGATAAGAAAATTAATCGAAATGTGCATAAGTTAATTCAAATATTCCTAATCGTGAATTAAAAAAAATAAAAATAAATTTACACATAATTACCTACAAACGAAACACATTGGGTTAAGTGACGCATCTTTTGCAAAACTCAAATTTGAGTCCTCGAGATAATATCTCTGAGACCTAACCATCCAAGATACCCTATGGGTTTAATAGAGGAAAATTTTTAGTTACACCCTTTCAAATTTATTATATTTTCAAAGATATTTTCTCTAATTTTTAAATCTTCATAGACAATCTCTATCAGATTAAAGGTTTTAACTAAAATATAATTTTACTAAATTGTCTATTATATATTTTAAGAAAAACTTCACCCACACTTTCTTTAGAGAGGTATATATTTAATGAGACCTCATTTGTTTAATGAATTTTTTTACATATTAAAAATCAAATCGATTATGTTTAATTCAAGATGATTAAAATTCGTTTTTAATTGGTTCGAATCAAATTTTAATCAACTTGTATTGAATTTTAATCCGCCCGAATTTTGATAAGTAAAAAAATATAAATTTTAATCAACTCAAATTTTAATACATAAAAAACGAATTGTAATCAATTTGAATCAAATTTTAATTGACACAAATTTTAAAAAAAAATCTAAATTTTAATAAATTTGAATTAAATTTTAATCAGCACTAGCAGCTCAAGTTGAGCTCAAGTCAGCTTTAATTTTAATAAATAAATAATTAATAGGCTCAGATGTTAATAGATAAAAAAAAAATTTAATCAGCTCGAATCGAATTTTAATTGACTCAAATTTTAATTTTTAGAAAAATAAATTTTAATCAGCTTGAATTCTAATATATAAAAAATAAATTTTAATCGGCTCAAATTTTATATAGAAAAATTGTTTGGTATTTATGTTTGAGTAATTTTGATATTTTAGATGATTGTTTTTTGGTTAAAAATTGTGGTTTTATGGAAGGGGTGTTAGTGAAGTTTTAGATAATAATGGGGGTGTCTTTAAAGATATAATAAATTAGAAGGGTTGTGGTTGAAATTTTTTCTTCGGGTAAAATTTAGTAATTGTTCCTCAAATATGGGTTTTGTGCACTGGTTCTTTTAATTTTCACATTTTACTTCCTCAAATTTTCAAATTATATTAGTTTTGCCCAATGGAAACTGACAGTTTAGATTGATTAATGAAAATAGTCACATGGATTTCATATATATAACCAAATTTGAGGGATATTTCTTGAACTCCCAATTCTCATCAAGCGAGATGTACATAGTCACTTCATTTAGTCAATTTAAACTGATGTTTTCGATTTGATTAGAGTGATACAAATTGAAAATTTAAGGAAACAAAGTGATAAAATTAAAAGAATAAAGCCCAAATTAACATAAAATGCATGTTTGAGAAAACATCTATATATATTTTAACTTTGATTAGAGTGATACAAATTGAAAATTTAAGGGAACAAAGTGATAAAATTAAAAGAATAAAGCCCAAATTAACATAAAATGCATGTTTGAGAAAACATCTATATATATTTTAACTTTGATTAGAGTGATACAAATTGAAAATTTAAGGGAACAAAGTGATAAAATTAAAAGAATAAAGCCCAAATTAACATAAAATGCATGCTTGAGAAAACATCTATATATATTTTAACCTAAGTAAATATGATGTGGCTATCTCCACGAGGACCACAGGCGGAGGGAGGCAGGGGCAGAGTGGGCACGTCCCCCGGCCTCCCTCAATTTTTTTTTTTTGTTTATTAGTTAGATATATGTATTATATATTTATACATATATATTATGTGTGTCCCCCTCATTTATATTACGCTCACATTATTTACTTAAAATAATTAAAAAATTAAGATCATTTAAAACAAAACAAAAATTGAACTCAATATTATCTACCCAGACTTATTTAATAATTAAATATTTAACTTATCACAATCTACCCAAATCTATTAAAAAAATAAAATTTTTAACCCAACATTAAAAACAAAATTTTTGTCCAACATTAAAAACAAAATTTTTTGGCCCACTTGACTAAAACCTATCTTATCTTTCCTTTTTTTTTGGGCCAAAATTAAAAACAAAATTTTTATTTTTGTTTCGGCTAAATAAAAATTGAATTTACTATTTCACAATAATTTAGTGTTGATTCTTACTTTTTTTTATTCTTGAACTGAATTTTTTTGTATTAATTTTGGCTAAATATTTTTTTTATACCAGTTATATTTTGCCTCTATCATAGATAAAAACTTTCTTCCCTAGAATTGTTATAATTAATGCCAGTTGGTATTTGAAACATTGGACTAGTGTATTACATTAAGAGCAATGTTATTGGAAGTTCGTTTGAGAATCTTATTTATAGACTTAATAATGTGGTTTCAATACAACCATTGAATTAATTGTGAGTTCCAATATTAGATGGAGCCCACAACAAATCTAATGATTGTAAATCACTAAGTCTTTAAATAAGATCCTCAAATAAGATCCAAATAGCATTTCCCTTATATTAAATACAATTATGCTGACATTGAAAATAATTCTAAGATCTATCAAATCTCACTAGATACCTGTAATCTACAAGTGACTACCCTCTCTTAATTAGTCCTCATCAAATTCACCCTCAGCTCAGGCTATATACATACATGAAGACATAGAAGAACCCTCAACAACTTCTCTGGAAAAATGGCTACTACTCTTCACTGTCCTATCCTCCTTGCCCTAGTCTTCTACCTATCCACAACATCATTTGCAGGGGACAGTGCTGTTGTCGCCCGACCCGTCGTTCACATTATCAGTGCCATGAACAAAAATACAGCGCCAATCAACCTTCGATGCAAGGTTAATGGAGCTGTAAAAATTCTTCATGCACTCAATGCAGGAGAGGACTATCAATGGAGTGCTGCAGAAAATGATGTGTACTACTGTGATGTAATTTGGGATAGGTGGTTTGCTGCTTGGCATGGGTTTGAGCCTAAGAGAGACCAGGGCCAAGAGACCATCTTTTGGAAGGTGAACAAGGATGGGTTCTTTTTTAGCTGGGATAGATCTAGGTGGGAGAAGAAGTTTTCTTGGGAAACTGATTAATTTATCTCATGAATTATTTTATTTCGATGAACTGATTATGACAGTTCCAAAATAAAAAAGATTTAAGTGTTTATGATGGATTTATCATACTTATTTTTATAATGTTTTGGAGATTCAATCTATTTAGTACCAATATATAGCAACTATATTGATTTCTTTACTGCTCGAGGAACAATAATCTGAGGCAGAAAGAGAAGTTTCGATCCCTATAGATTAAGAGAAGCTTATGTGATCAGGTGTAGCGATTAAACACAAGTATAGCGATAGAGTGATTTGATTTACGATTCTATTAAAACAATGTAGACAGGAGGTACAATCTGTTCGTATGCTTTGTGCATGCATGGATTGAAAAAGTCCCATTGCCATCAATCCTGTCAACGTCCACAAGAGTGACTTTTCTTTCTTTCTTTTTATTTTTTTCTCACTTTCGGTAAGTATTGGTAGTGTTTCACTATATGTCAAATACTTATATACTGTCACCAGTTAAAAACTTCTGATCCATTGTGTTTTGTCACTCCGTTGCGCTCTAGTTTCTTAAACTTAATGAATATGAGTCATTCATTATCTCCAAGAGGGTTCGAATTTTAATTAACCGAATTGACTGGACATATCCTTTTAATAAATGAATTAATGTGAATCTATACACGACTATATACCACACAATAAATGACTATTAATTGATTAGAATTTGGTTGAACAAATTCTGGCCCAACACAGCTTTGACACGATACGATAATTGGTCTTACCTCCAACTTACATTTATCAATTACATTTAGAATGATTACATAAACTAAACATAGATCAATGTCATAAAAAGCTTTTACTAGAAATTCTTAAAACAGGCAAAGAGTGTTAAAATAGTTGAGGATGTACAATTAACTGCTCCTTGCAAGGTTTCTAATACCGTCCTTCAAATCGCTCTCCTCTGCCTTATATATCAGAAAAAGACACAGTCCATCAACTATATTATTTCTGGAAATACGGCCACTGTCAAAAAAAATGGCATACCCAATGCGGGGTATTCAGTCTTATAGACAAGCAGAAAGACTATTTTCACGATTCAAACCTGTGACCTTCAGGTCACAATAAAACAATCTTACCGTTACGCCAAAACCTGCCCTCTTATGGCCACTGTCACTAACCCCTTATTTCTTGGTACAATTTTCTTCTGTTTCTCACTTGGATCTGCTCTGCATGAACACATCTTGTGGGCTAATTATCACATTCGTATTATAAACAATATAAATGATGGATCGACGCCATTGGTTGTTCATTGCAAGAGCAGAGATAAAGACCTTGATGAAAGAAGTTTGTATAAGGGTGAGACATATTTTTTTGAAGCCCAGATTGACTTGTTCAGAAAAGCTGTGGTCATTTGTTTTATGACAGAAGGGAATAGGAGTATGTATATTGAGGCTTTTAAAGCAACAAGAGATGAAAATAGGCGCCAAAGCAAGAAGGTGTGCTTGTGGTCTGTGAGAGATGATGGAACTTATTTCAGTAATGATGATTCTAAAAAATGAATGCAAATCCCCAAGTCCAGCCCCTTCCTAAAATCAATTAGGATCTTTCAATTCTCTTTGAATGATCAAGATCTATATACATATACATAAGCAGATTTAGTTGATTCAAAAAAATATTCAAAATTTTAAAAATTCAAATTTCACTAAATTTGGCGGTAGGTATAAATCTTGACAATTCAAAAATCAATTGGATGGTACTCAAATTCTTGTGAAATTGGAGACGAGCCGAACCCCGATTAAGATTATTGTGTATAGATAATCTAAGAAAGTCACATAGTGATTGATGCAAAGAATCTACACAATATAGGATAATTAATTGCCTTTTGCCATTATTTTCCTCCTATAAATTTCCCATTATTTGCCGGATTGAGGATGCAAGAATTCACGATGTCATAGACCAAATTTCACAAATCTTTTTTATTTTGTTTTATTAATTCCTCTAATTCTAGAGAGCTGTTTACACCTTATATACGTACATAAGAATAGAAGAGAGATGATTTTCGGACTTGAACTCACGATGATATTAAGTGATAGACAATCTTATCCGTGATGTGAAGACAATTTCTGAACTCGAACTCGTAACATAAACACGATGATATTAAGTGATAGACGGTCTTATCCATAATGTGATGTCGCTATATTTCCAGACTACAATTTCTGGACTCGAACCTGCAACATAAACACGATGATATTAAGTGATAGACAACCTTATCTGTAATGTGATGTCACTATATTTTCGGACTTGAACCCTCGACATAAAAGAGAACTATGATTTAACCTAAAATAAGAAAGGAAACAAAAAAAACTGCAAATTAATGCTGAATCTACACACAAACCTTATAAAATAACAAGAAAGGAAACAAAAAAAAAACTGCAAATTAAGGGCTGAATCCATGCACAAATCTTAAAAAACAACAGCGCAGTCATCTCTCTTACAAGCCTCCATTTATGGCCTAAAAATATGCCATAATGTTTTGTGTGTGTGTGTAACATTCATTTAAAGCTGTAGGTAACCCTCTCTCTCTCTCTCTCTCTCACACACACACACACACCGCAAAAAATAAGTAATGTGATTAGAATAAATTTATTGGTCTGCAATGTGTGGATCATTAAATCTTCAAAATAGTGTGAACTTTGTTACAATACCAATGGGTTAACAAAATCAAAGAACAATCAAATTTGTTATAATTAAATTAAAAACCAAAAAACTTGATGGTGCATTCTGGTAACAGGCTGCATATACTAGTGCCGGACACTTATAATTTTTGTTTTTTTTTTAAATTAGTAGCTCGAAACCTAGTAACACAATCAATAGATAGCATGCAAATGAAAAAATGTATTAAACTAGAAGTGTTTATGCCTTTTTAAAAAAATCAATTTCTCAGCAAGATTAAAAAAAATTATTTTGAAATATCTTGTAGAATTGATCAATTATAGATGATTATTAGAATTTGAAATAGCATTGTTGTGTTTCTCTTTAATATATGACGACTGAATTGAAATGTGCAACAAAAATATTACTATTTTTGTTTGTTCATATTGAATTAATTTTTATTTTTTAATTTTCATTTTGTAATTAAATCTTTGATCTTAACATACTTCTCATAGGTGAACTAAGGAATTTTTTGTATGAAATATGCACCTAATTTAGTCATTATTAATAGAGATGCATATTTTTTTTTAATACGAGCTAATTATATTTTTTATTTATGGTTTTGCCCCCATTATGATAGAATCCTAACTCCGCCCCTGCAAAAACACACACGCAGAGTATGCACGGACACAAACACACACACTCACCCACACACAACAATTGATGTTTAATTTGAGTTTCACACACATACACACATCAATTGATTTTTGAGAAAGCATATGATCATGTAAATTGTAGGTTTTGGAACTTTGTGATGGGTGGAAAAGGTTGGAAGACGGATAACCAAAATCTTAATTTAGGGATTAAAACTTTGTGAGCCAATATAGGAAGCTTACAGAATTCTTGAGAATGCATTGACAATCTACTATTTCTATGTTTTTTGATTATCTATGTTTTATTCTTTATTGTATAGGAATGGAAGAAGAAATTCCAACTAGCTATACAAGTATGGAGATGAATGGTAATACTTGTGAGAAGGAAGTTGATAATACAATCAATGTAAAAGAAAGATTAGAAGAGCCAAAAATGGGAATGGTGTTTAATACAGTTGTTGACGAAATAATGGAGTACTACATAAGATATAGTAATGGCCTAGGATTTCCCATAAAAAAGAAGAACATCGTCAAAGGGAGATGATGGAGAGCTAAAATATGTGACATTTGCATGTTCTCGCTCGGGAAAGTCAAAGTTTACATCAAGAAATGCCTTACAAATGCATCCAATCACCAAAACTGACTGTAAAGCTAAGTTAAGAGCAACTATATGTCCCGATGGCAAGTGGCGAGTGACGTCCATCATGCTTGCACATAATCATGGGTTGAGTCTGGTCAAATCTTGTTTCTATCGATGCAACAGGATAATAAGACCATACATCAAAAGCAGACTTGAAATGAATGACCAGCAGGAATTCGGATTAACAAGAACTTTAATTATATTGTGGTTGAAGCGGGTGGACATGAGAATGTTCCCTTTTTGGAGAAAGATTGTAGAAATTTGATTGACAAAGTAAGGCGGTTGCAGCTTAGGAAAGGAGATGCTGCTGTGATTCACAACTATTTCCTGAAAATGCAAGGTGATAATTCAAAATTTTTCTACAGTTGACTTTATTAGGATGTGGATTGGTATCAAGTGAAAATGTTGAGACGTTTACTTGGTTATTTCAATCTTGGGTTGCTTGCATGTCTGTTCGTACTCCAAATGCAGTAATTACGGACCAAGACAAGGCAATGCAAAAGGCAATTGAGATTGTTTTTCCCAATACACGCCATAGGTGGTGTTTGTGGCATATAATAAAGAAGTTGCCAGAAAAGTTGAGAGGTTATAAATAGTATGAGTCAATCAAGTTTGCATTGCAGAGTGTTGTATATGACTGTTTGACTAATGAAGAATTTGAAGAACGGTGGAATAAAATGATTGAGAAATATAATCTTGAAAGCAATGAGTGGTTGTTTGGATTGTATGATGAGAGGCATCGATGGGTGCCAACATTTGTGAAAGATATTTTTTGGGCAGGAATGTCTACCACACAACGTAATGAGAGCATGCTTGCATTTTTTGATGGATATGTCAATTCCAAAACTACGTTAAAATAATTCGTTGAACAGTATGAAAATGCATTGCAAAGCAAGGTAGAAAAAAAGAACCAAGAGTTCAACTCCTATAATTCATGGATTCCTTGTGTAACTCATTATGCAATGGAGAAGCAATTTCAAGATGCTTATACTACTGCAAAATTTAAAGAGTTTCAACATGAATTGACAGGGAAGATATATTGTCAATTGTCTTCGGTTAAAGATAATTATTCTTTTTCAGAGTATGAAATATCTGAAGATATAAAGGTTGGGGAGTCATCTCGGCGTGCATCTTTCAAAGTTTTTTTAATTCATGATGACTGTGATATTAAGTGCAATTGTCGTTTGTTTGAATTTAGGGGCATTTTATGTAGACATGCAATCACAGTGCTAATTCATAAGAAGATTTTAGTGATTCCAGAAAAATACATCATTCGGCAATGGAGGAAAAATTTGAAGAGATGTCACACGAAGATAAAGATTAGTTATGATGATTGGAGTGTCAAACCTAAAGCATGTCGTTTTGACAAGATGTGTAATACATTTTATCAGGTTGCAGACTTGGCAACTGATTCTGAAGAAAAGACCAATTTAGAAATGCAGAGGCTAAATGAATTGAAAATAGACCTAAACAAATATGATTGTGTTGGTAAAAGTAGTCAATCTACTACCAATAGAAATGTTGGAAAAACAAATGCTTGCAGTGATGTTAATCCAACATCAAAAGAGAATGCAAATATACTTGCTCCAGAGGTAGTTCGTAGTAAAGGGCGACCACCATATAAAAGGAAGCAATCTAAGGTCGAGCAAGTAATTAGGAAAAAAAGAGGAAAAGAAAAAAAATATGGAAGCAAAGACAATTACCCAAAATGCAGGGAATTATGTGAAGGTGTGAAATATTTGAATTATGTGATTTTTAAACTAATTCTTTTTATTTTGTTCACATTGCTAATTTTATAAATAATTTTGTAGGATTCTAACATGATCCACGGCAACAAAATTGGTAAAGTTGATGATGCATTAAGTACGGAAGTTGTTGACATAGTTGAGACTCAACAAAGAATTTCATTAAAGGTACAAGATTGTATTTGCTAATTTGAGCAATTATATTAAACATTTTACTATGAGATATTTATTTAGTTGTGGTGTATTTTATGTGTTATGAAGGTCAGCTCACTCTCCTTGTATGAGGGCAACTTTACTCTTTCAGCACATGAATATAGAGGTGGATATACAATGGACAACATGACACATTCTAGGTTTTCACACCAAAATATGTTACAGGTATATCATATTTCTTTTATTTAATAGAAAATATGTGTTGCATTTAACATGTGTTCTTTAAATTTAGGCTCAACACTTTTCATATTGGAGAGGTATATATGGTATGGATCATGTTCCCTACTCTACACCAATATTTGGAATCAATGATACTACACAATTGTCCAATATCATACAACAGTCGGTACGATATTCATTTGTTAATTTTCATCTAATTTGCATCTCCATGCACTTTAATTTTCTTTCAAATTTTTGCTATATATAGGGAAGCCTAAATTCAGTAAGGGATGGGGATGCTGGCAAGAGTGGTTCAAAGTGTCCAAACTAATAAGTGAGTTATGAACTCCTTGTGTACCATTTTAAGTGCTATTAGTTTTATTGATTTTTCAACAGCTATTGGATCCATTTATATACAGTTTTAAGATCTATTAGTTTGGTTTGTGTAGGCAAAAGTCAATGCACAAGAAAATACAACAATTTTTGGTGCAACTTCAAAGCCAAATGGAAGACCAAGAAAATAGATTTTTATTTGTTTTGTTTTGTTTTGTTTTGTTTTGGAAATGGAGTTTTGATGTATGAGATTAATTTTTTAGCTAACTATGTTGTGGTGATAGATTGGCCAATTGTGTTGCTAATAGATTGGCTAAATATGTTTTATTTTGATACCTCTTTTTTCATTAGTGATTGATTTTGGTGGAATTGGATTTAATTGTTCTTAGCCTTTGGTATATAGCTGGCTAGTATTTTGAATTGGGTGTGTTCTGTCAAAATTGTTTGTCATGGTGGACTGGTTTCATTGGAAACCCTGATTTCACTTTTTATGTGCTAGTATATGTTGGAACTGGATTTAAGATTAGAGATTGTGTATAATTGACAAATACGATTGACATTGCTACTGTCATGTACAAAGGGTTAATCAGGCAATTCCTCCAAATTATATGATTCAATTGGTGATAATGAAAAAAAATTGTGTAATACATTGCAAAAGTACTCACTAAGAGAGTGAAAGATTGGGCTTAATACATTTAGTTCCACTACTACCTCTGCTCTCCTTTGTAAGTGTGTTAGGGAAAATCAAGTGCTTGAATTCACATTTTTTGAGTCCTTAGTTCTTCTTGTAAAGGCCAACATTGACTCATCAAATGATGATTCAATGACATTCCTATTTAAAAAAGCTTGGCTTTTCATTCATGAAATTTCAATTATAATCAAGCAAAACCGTTGGCTAATTCAAGACTCCCTAAGATTCATTAATCAAGCACAACTGATGATTACCACCAAGAACAAAGAATCAAAATAAAGAAAATTTGAGTTAATCACTACAAAGTGATCAATATGAACAGTGGCTTTAGCAATTACACAAAAGTTTCAAATACAGAACTCTGTCCAAGATATACTAGAAATCAGAGGATAGACAGCCTCATTATCGACCAACTGAACCCCAAAACCCCTCATTGAATCATCAATTGATAGCCATTTTGGATCGTTCAAATTCACTTAGAATTTTATGTTCTTGAAACCCAATAAGAAATTGGGCAAGTCCTTCAAGAAAAAGAGCTGCCTGAAAAACATTTGTAACATTCAGAATCTCTGTCAAAACACTTCTCCTCAGCCTATTGGCATCCATAAAAACACTCATCATCTCCGCCACCACCGCCTCACCAACGGCCTTTTTTACTCCCTCCTTCCTCTCTCTCACTTCCCCCACTCAACCCCAACTCTCTCAACAAACTCAGCCTGCACTTGAGCATGTTGAACCAGTCGGTGTAGTAGTCCTTGAATGGGCGTGTGGCCTTCTTGCGGCCAAAGAAAGCTAATTTCACTGACATAAAGGAAGAAAATCAGAGGAAGCAAAGGCGTGGGTGTGTGTGGTGGGAAGATTTTATCGTAAATTTGAGTGGAGTAGCCCCATGATATGGAGAAAGTCCAATTGTTTTGCTTGTGGTAGCAGATACTTTGTTGTAATAATCGAGACGAATCGGAGAGTTTGCTTCACGATGTTTCAGCCTCTTGTTGAACATATAATTTTTCGTTTCTCTGAGTCTTTAATTCATATCGACTCACTTCCTTATCAGTCGATTTCTCCTCTGAAAAATCACCATAAAACCCCTTGAACTCTATGTACAGATCTGGGAGCTCTTTGAACACATCAGCAACCTCTTGATCGAGCCGATCAATGACCATGTCCCCAAATCGCCACATACCCAAAGCATCAAGAAACAATTTATTTCTCCGAACTTCGTCTCCGAAACTCTTCTGAACCTTTTTCACAAACTTGGTCTGTGTAGTCCGCGATGAAGTCGGAGCTTGATCGTCCACCGTGCTATTGTACGCCTCCGACGAAGTGGCGACAAGCTTCTTCTTTGCCGGTAAGAAAGAGTTGAACCCAGTGACTAAATCATCATACCCATCAAACAGCTTCTTCACAGTTGAACATCTTGGGAAGACGTGATTTACTGGGTGGTTTTCTTCTTTGGCAGAGAAGAAAGAAAGGGGAGGGCAGAGACTTGTGTTGGTAAGCGAGAGAGAGAGAGAAGGTGGGTATTGTCGGTGGAAGTGGGGAAGTTGAAAAGCTTTTAACCCTAATATTAATCAAATATTAACCTTTTTATTAAATGACGTTGCATGTTGATTTGGAATAGCTGGCATGTCTTTTAGTTCCTAATTTTGGTTAGCCTAACATTACTCTGTACATAAACTACAGTGCATGCATAAGAAGCTACCTATTCATACAAGTTGAAGAACCTTTCTTCTCCTCTTCACCTAGAAACCACAGACATGGCTCCACTAAACAGAAACTTCTTGTTGCTTGCATTGTTCATTGCTCTGTGTCATGTTCATAGTCTTGGCATGAGAACACCAGAGATTAAGGGAGAAGATTTTAGCTTCATTCGACACAAAACGACTGTTCGTATACACAACGAGATTGGCAATGGTATGAACCTCACTCTTCACTGCAAATCCGAAAACAATGATCTTGGCACCCATGTGATACCTAATGGAGATTTCTTCCAATGGAAATTCCGAATCAACGTTTGGGAAACTACCCTTTTCTTCTGCAGTGTGTCGTGGGAGAAAGCAAGAGAGATTTTCGACATCTATGTAGCCGATAGGGATAAACATAGATGCAGGCAGTGTGTTTGGAGAGTGAAAGAAGATGGAGAAGAACAACTGTGGTTCAGGTGGGGTGAAAGGCCACCAATGTAGTTTCTTAGGGAAAATTATCTTTTAATCTCCTCAATTATGTCTTTTGAATCCTATTACCCCCCTTAACTTTGCTATTCCCACAACGCACCTCGTATTATGGCTATTGGTTTTCATATTACCTCAATACAAGAAGTTCTTTGCCAGTGAGGTTGAAATAGTGTCATTTTTCCTTTCACCTTATGTGAGTTTGCTTCACTTTGTACCAAATTCTAATAACGTGCATATATTTTCCGACCAAAATATAATGGACGTCTAGTTTTCAGACAGTATCAAATTGTTTAAATAGTTGAGGGGAGATGCCAGAGACTTGAGTATTTACAGGGGCTAAAGTGAGATTAGAGTTGTAGTTTAAGGATACAAAATGTAACTTTCCGGTTCTTTAACTGCTACCCACTCCCAAAATGGCAAAAATATTGGGTGTAATGGTCGACTGATCAGACAAATCAGCAAATGGGCCTCATTAAAACTCATAACCACTCAATCATTTCATATATAATCACCTCCGCGATATAAAGTATTTTATTTTACTCTTTTTATTCTTTTCTTATTGAACCGTTATACCATATCAACAATGATGGTATGGTTCAACGGTTACATCCAATATTTAGTCATCAATATTGGTTGCTCTTCCAGATAGTTTGGTGGAGAAAATGCAGGGATCTGTAAAATCTGCCTCTAGATTTCAAGATAACAAGTCTATATATCTTGTTTAGTTTTAGATTGTAAAACTTTTAATTTGTTAAGCCATCCACAACTTCTCAGGGCAGCTTGGATGGGAAGAATTGATGGGGTACTATTTCGAGATTCTAAGTTCAAATCTCACAATAAATGTTCGGTTCTATCCAATGTGCATGAATTCAGTTGGCCATGCCCAAAGTCATCACCTTAGCAAACAAGAGACCTAGCAGAGGTATTGAGTGATTGAAATCATGGTAAGATGATTGATGCTTGAATGTGAAGCAGCATCACATCCTTGATAGGGAGAGCTAAATGCTTGCTTAGCATATGTAGATCAATAAGAAGGGCATGATTTGTATAATCAAGATCATGTGAGACCAAACCATGGCAAAACATCAAAGGAAGAACGGAGCCAGACCGGACAAGGAAAGGCTAAAAAGCAAATTTATAAAAACAATGCTTTAAAACAGCACTAACCAATGATACTAAGTTTCCAACAAAATTCTACTCTGAACTCAAAATATTACACCAAAAAAGTCGAGGGAAGAAAAACAGCAATCCAAAATCATCAAGAAAGAGATAGCTAAAGATCTGTAGGACTAATTTACTTCTCTTCTTTTTTGGACAAGCAAGTAATGTATAATGGGCTATAACCTGATAAAAGACCAACAAATATGTTTCAAGCTATCAATTCACAGCAAGACCATCAGAAAACAATTATCTGCAGCTAGTAGCACAGTATTTGTGTCTCGTGTTTAGTTCAGAACTTCATCAATTAGCCCGAGACTCCTACTAGAATATATATGACACATGATATTTCCTTTGTAAGAAATGTACACAATGGTTTACATCATTTGAATTGTGTTAAATAATATAAGGAAAATCAGCACTAAGAAGACAAAAAAAACCATCAGCTAATAAAACTGGGAACTGATACATACTTTCATGAGCAATCATCTTTTAGAGGAAGATCATGAACAGGAGATGAAATGAAATTCCCTTCTTGCTCATTAGACTCAATCAGCATTAGCACAACTTGCCGCATTGATGGCCGGTCATAGGGAGACATACTCGTGCACATCAATGCAATTTTTAAGACAGAAATCATGTGATTGATAGTACTCTCACTTTTCAAATTTAATCGACTATCCAATACCCCAGATGTCAGCGAATGATCTCGAACATAATTCCTTACCCAAGAGACAAGATCGCCTCCTTGATCTAATGGCTGAACAGGTGTTCTCCCAGTGAGCAACTCCAATAGAACAACTCCAAAGCTATAAATATCACATTTTTCCGTGACCTTCATAGTATATGCATATTCTGGCAATAAGAAAAGAAAATCATCATTCACTAGCAAGGAATGAACCCAACTCATTCAAAATTAAAAAGAAAGAAGTATTGCACTCAGAGAGCAACTAAATTAAAAATTCTTTCCACTATCCTGTCTATCTGAAGGTGTCAAATGGATGAATAATTTAGTAATGGCATCATGTCAGTAGAATGATGCCTTCTCTGCGCACATATAAGTGAACCTGACACATAAATGAATGCATAAGCTTGTAAGGCTCTTATTACAGAATGCAGGGCAATGAATGAACCTTTCTCCCTAACTAAACAAGACAGGCAGAAATTGCTCATTGCCCAAAATTGGAATGGATTTGTTTCCGTGACTCTGTTTAGCGAATTGAAACCCAATGTTATGACCCCTACAATCCCTGTTGATAGACTCATTCATAGAAAGTAGTCAACTCAATGCATCTCTCATGTTCTTATAGCTGCTATACTCAACTCTATCAGTATAATATTTGTCCTCAATCCTCAGCCAAACTTTAATTATCATCAACTATAATGTCCTGACTGGATTTCAACAGAGATCAGAATTCAGCAGTGTGCGAGCATCAATGAATTTTACCCATCTGGCAGCAATAAGAAATCTAGGGTACTTTGAAGATCTGAAACCATAACTTTATCACATTCATTTTTTTGATACATTATCTAATCTAAGTTTTGCATCCGTTGATATCTCAAAAACATCAGATTGACAAAACAGAAGCTTCTGAAGAACATCTAGCAAGCACTGCATGAATGCGAAGTACAAAAAACCTGTTTCCCCCATGAAATATACAATTACAGACACTCCCTTCCTCAAAGTGAAGTTCATATATAACATCACCAAGGAAAGGCACCCTCATCTAGTTTAGCTTCTATGCCATCAAGGTGTTCCTATAAAGCAATTTAAGGCCCAATACTATAAAGGGTTACACTCAATCTCGGAATCATTCCTTCATGTCATTTTTTTATAATATTATATATTGAATGGGCCATTGAGTTCTCAAGTATTTGAGTATATAAACAAATATACTCATGCAAGAATAGCAACGTTAAATAAATTAGAAACTGAAGCATGACTGACTTCTAGTCTATATATAAGATTGCTTTAGTACATCCCTCGATAACTCTATTCAATTTTGTAGCACATTTTGTAATGACATTTTTTTTTCCTGTTCTTTTTTTTAATTCATGCACAAAGGCAGATTCAAAGAGATCTTGATTTCATAAAAAGCAACTCCATCGTAGGGTGCATCTAGATGTATCACAGCACAAACAACCAAATATCGAGGTCGCATAGGACTTCGCTCCTTCGTCATCTCTCTTGACCAACTAAATAAGACATAGGTCCACAGCTTAAAACCACACGAATGGGAAAGAGAAAATTCCAAACTTTAGCTTATTGCAACCTTGTCCAATCTTTATAATGACAACCCCGGTAATTATCAACATTTATACTTTCAAAATTCAAATGAAGCTTAACTTGTGTTTTTTTGCATACATTGTTATAAAAATCATAATCCGGATCGTAAGATCCTACGATCCAAAATCTCTTGCAAAATCCCTAATTTATAGGATCTTAATAGATCATGATTCAGATCTAATAGGATCCTGATCCAAATTATGATTTTACCAATCCAAGTTGTTACATTTGTTGTTAAGCACATTTAGTTATTGAGCTAACCCAATTCACATTTACTATTTTAATATTTAAAACCCAGTTCAACTATGATTGTCTCATACAACCATCAGTTTTTGTGAAATTTCGGATAAACAAAGTCCTCTTCGGAATAGAAAGTTCTCTTTATTACAGACATCCCTCTTCATTAGTTTGTGTTCTTTTTCTTTTTGGATGTCAAAGAATCAAAGTTTTTTATTCAAGAATCTTTCAGCTCTAGTCTCTCCTCTATATTCTCTGCAAAAAATTTAGATCAAAAAAGTACTTCAATTCTACTATTCCTCTTTGCAAAATCCCACACAATTAACAGTCCAATTTTTAACCCTCTTCGATGCTCATATTATGGTTTCTTAGATCTAAAACATGTTTCTAAGTTCTATGTTTGCCATAAAATTTCTATTTGCATGTATACTAGGCTTATTTTCCTATTTTCTTTAAAAGTCCATATTGTTGCATTTAGTTTTCGTCACATTTCTTCAATTCAAAGAATCTTACAATTCTCGATCTCATCCTACAATTCTGACCTTTTAGCCTCTCCCAGTGATCCAATTTAGAATTTCGATTTTAGAAACCTTGTTGCATATAATGCCTAAATGCCACACAAAAAGGCTTACCATCAGAAATGGCTTATGAAACATATAACCAAAAAACTGTAAGGTAACAGAAAATATAATGAAGTTAGCAATAACTCGTTTCTAAAAAAACTCTGCAATACCAAAAATTAAGCATTAATTCTGCAACTTTTAAATTTTAAAAAGCAATTTATTTTTTATTTTCTTTATTTTATTAATTAATTCAAAATTAAAGTGGATAGAGAGAAAATAAAAAAGAGGTAGAAGCAGAGAAGAGAGAGGTAGGTATAGATTAATGGGGTTGTCCAACATTTAAGAGTGTGCTGGTTGAATTTTTTTCACATTGAGGGCAGTGCAAAGAAAATAATGTTTTTGGGTGGGAAAATTTATTTGGAATGACTTTTGTACCGTTGGATGAAATTAGATGAAGTTTGGACTATTCTCAATCTGTGTTGCACTTTTATAAATGTACAATTCAAATTGCTAGTTGTAATATGGGATAGATAGAGTGGCTTATCAAAAACTCTCCAGGATAATTCCTTAGATTCATTTTCGAAGCTCATTAATATAATAGAAACTTGAAAGTCCTATATTAAATATATTATTTCATTCTTTGGTAGTACTGTAAATAATCAAACAATATATAATGAACATGTGAAAGAAAAATAATAAAACTCAAATGGGAACGGGCGAAAATAGACTTACCAGGGGCTATGTATCCGTATGAACCTGCTACTGCAGACATGGACTTGGATTGAGGCATGTCAATCACCTTTGCCAAACCAAAATCACCAACATGAGCCTCAAATTTTTCATCAAGTAGAATATTGTTAGATTTAATATCCCGGTGAATGATCTTTGGTTTGCAATCATGATGTAAATAAGCAAGACCCTGAGCAGCCCCAAGAGCAACTATAAAGCGTGCTGGCCAATCCAAGCAACTAGATGCCCCATGAAGCAATTCACCCAAGCTACCTCTTGTCATGTACTCGTAAAAAAGTAGATTGGAACCCTGGTGATAGCAAAATCCATATAGCTTCATAATGTTACGATGCCTAATATTTCCCAGAGTTAAAATCTCAGCCCGAAAACTGTTCTCAATGTTGTTTCCCTCTCTGTTAGAAGCAAGCTTCTTAATAGCAATTGTTTGTCCAGACTGCATAACTGCTTTATAAACTGTCCCAACAGCTCCCCTTCCTACAACATAACTGTCATGAAAATTGTTTGTGGCCTCAACCAGATCTTGGAAACTGAATCCCTCTCTTGGAGGAAAATAGATATCCGAAACCGAAGACGATATATCTTTATCTTGCAAAGAAGCAATGATCTCAGATGGGCGTCGCTTCATGAAATATAATATAACAGCAATCAGAATAGAAGAGACTCCACCCACAACAATTGCACCTATTGTGATGATTTTCCCCCGAGTAGCATCTACACTGCTCCCAGAAGGTGGAATTGAATTGGAAGATGAAGTTGCTCTGCAATCACCTAGAGGTCCACCACAAAGCCCTTTGTTTCCAATAAAGCTGCTGATGGGCATGTTCTGAAACAATTGAACAAGAGGCAAGGGACCGGAGAGGTCATTGTATGAGAAGTTGCACCCCAGTAAACTTGAAAGATTACCAAATGTGCTAGGAATTTCACCACTCAAATGATTGTTATTGAGCAGGAGATACTCTAGCAAAATAAGATTCCCAAGCTGAGGCGGTATTCTACCAGAGAGATTATTGTAGCTAAGATTCATTGCAATCTGCAAACTTGTAAGAGAACCCAATTCTGATGGTATTTCCCCAGAAAAAAAATTTCCACCTATCTGCAACTCAGTCAAATGGGAGAGATTGCCCAATGCTGCTGGTATATTTCCAGAAAATTTATTGTCTGAAAGCAAAAGAAGCTCCAGCTGAGAAAGGGTTCCAAGTTCATTTGGTATAGCATCTACAAAGCTGTTCCGGCTAAGATCAAGTCGTTGAAGCATCTTACAGTCAAGAATTTCAGGTGGTATCCTCCCGGTAAGAAAATTAGATGAAATATTAAAAGTTACTAGCTGAGACAAATTTCCCAACTCATTTGGCAACTCAGACATGAAATAATTTCCCGAGAGATCAAGCCTTTGTAACTTTTGGCAGTTTCCAATCTCAGGAGGAATAGTACCATTGAACTTGTTCTGGCCCAATTCAACCGCGGAGAGGTTCATCAAATTGCACAAATCACCAGGAAAGCCCCCTGTAAGTCTGTTTCCACTCAGACGAAATTGCACCAGTGGTTTGCAATTTGAGATCCCATTCGGAATATTTCCATATAGTTTATTGGATTCAAGATTCAGCAGAATCAAGTTAGAATGCTGACAAATATGAGGAGGAATTCTTCCAGTTAGGTAGTTGTCTGAAAAATCAACAACCCAGAGTGGACCGGAAAGCCCAAGTCCTTGCGGAATACTACCAGTAAGAGAATTATTGAAAAGCTGCAACTGGAGCATTTTGGTTAGATATTGAAATCCATAGGGAATAGGGCCAGTGAGATAATTAATCGAGAGGTCAAGCTTCGTCAAGTTCTTCAAGCTGCTGAGCTCATTGGGTATAACACCTGTAAGCTGATTCTGGAACAGGAAGAGTAAGCTTAGACCCTTTATTTGACTGAATTCAATTGGAATTTCTCCGGTCAAATAATTCTCTGAGAAATCAATTTCAATTGCTGCAGAAAGATTCCCAATCTCCTTTGGAATAGTTCCATTCAATGCATTCCAATATAAATACAGCTTCTGCAAAAACTTTAGGTTTCCAATTTCCAGGGGAATTTCTCCAACGAGATTGTTCTGGTACAAAGCAAGAGTCACCAGTTTTGTACAATTTCCAAGCTCCTTTGGTACAAAACCAGAAAACTCATTCCTCATAAGAATTAGATCCGTCAAGTTCCCAAGCATGCCGAGCTCTTTGGGAATATTCCCTCCTAAGCTATTTTGGGCAAGACCAAGATATGCCAAGCTCAGACAACCACCTAATTCTGCAGGTAAGCTTCCAGAAATTGTATTCTCCCCTGCTCGAAATGTTTTCAAATTTTTAAGGTTTCCAAGACTTCGAGGCAATGGGCCCGTAAGATTGTTTGTGTATGCCAAAAAGTCGACCAAAGAAGAAAGGTTTCCAAACTCCTCTGGAATAGGACCAGACAACTCATTATTGCACAAATTCAAATCTGTTAGATAAGACAGCTTGCCCAACTCAGCAGGAATTTGCCCATCAAGCAGATTGTTGTTCAGATAAAGACTTTCCAAGCTCGAGCAATTCCCAATCTCCTTCGGAATATTTCCAGTGAACTCGTTGTAAGATACATCGAGATAAGTTAGGAAGGCCAAACCACCAACACTAGGGCTTAAGGTCCCTGAAAGATTCATCGAATTCAAATCGAGAGACCAGACCACGGGATAGTAATTTGTTGTGCAATTTACACCACTCCATCCACATGGTGTTTGATCACTGGAATTCCAATTCCCCAAATAGTTGAATTCATCCTTAATGCTTTTCTTTAACTCCAAAAGGTATATTCCGTCCGAATTCAATCCCTCTGAAGGACAACCCAGAAGAAGAAAATATACTAAAATTCTGGTAAAACCGATAACAAAACCTCTCTTTGACTCGAAAATCCCAGACATCATAGCAATGACCAATCAATCAACTTAATATTTACACTGACTAGTTATACTTCCAAAAGTCTAACCGACTCAGACCATCATGTCACAGAACAAAATCATACTAGCAACTATGGTTCCATGACTCTAAAAACTGAATTGAACTTCGAAATTGAATCCAGAAACCCATCATCTAGAAGAATCATCTCAAACAAAGAGTGATGAATTAATCACTTCGAAATTCAGAAACCCACAAACCAAATGTCTGTTTTTGAATCTATGACAGAAGAGAATAATGTTCCAATGAATTCCAAGTGCATATACAACAGGATGATTAATCAACCATTCAACATAAGTCAACAACTCAGAAACCCACAAGACGAAAAGGTATTGAAAAAATAAACCAAGGAATTCAATCATGCAAAGGAAGGCCAATATGAAAGACTGATGAATCAACCATATGAAAGAAACCCAGCTTTGACATACCTTTGAGTCTATCAGTCATAAAAGTCACCCACCCAAATCATCAAAGCCCGCCTATATTCAAGTGGTTCCTTGAGATAAAGACAAAGCAAACACCCGTGGAATTCAAGAACTGTAAGACCCAAAAAGATATAAACAAAATCTCAAGCTCCAACGTTTTCCAAGAATGGTGGGATCTTCCAATCTACATGCAAGATTTGTGAGGGAAAAAAGATTCAGACCTTTTTAAGGGACAAGCCTTTGGAAACCCAAAAAAGAATGGGAATCAAATGCAATGAATCACGGGTTTGAGGGGGTTTATTTTATTTGGAAAGTTTGTTTCTTGGTGAAGCAAAAGAGCACAAGCCCACGTTTCAGTTTGGGGTATTGGTTTTTGGGTCCTTCGCATATTCTTGGGTGGTTCTTGAATGGTAATGATATTGAAGGATCTTTAGATGAATGGAAGGGATGGGTTGAGAGCTCTTCATTGAAGCTCTAATGGCAGACAAAGCATGCTTTCATACCCCTCTCTCTCTCTCTCTCTCTCTCTCTCTCTCTCTCTCTCTCTCTCTCTCTCTCTCTCGCTCTCTCTTTCTTGTTCTTGCACATTCTCGCTCAACTAGGCCACATATACAATAACAGTACTTTGTTCTCTCTCTCTCTCTCTCTCTCTCTCTCTCTCAAGTTTATCTTTTTTAGTGCTATAAGAAGGTAATAACAGTGAAGCTTTTAGGCGAGGAAAGTTCATTTTTCTATTTGATTGAGACAGGTTTTCGTAGGTACCTGCGGAAATTCCATACCAGCGAAAGTGAGATCTGATATTGTACTTGCAACGGTGTCGTTCTCTGCTCTTAGTTTTAGTATTTTTCCAAGTGAATTGTTTTATCTTTTAATCAGTTTGGGTTTGTTTAATTGATTAAGGGTTTGTCCCTCTTTGGAAAACTCCCTTTGGAGGATATCTGATAAAAAAATATGTAAAATCCTATTATTCATGTATTTGTAGATGGTGAATATTATAGTAACGTCACAGATAAACACATCGATCAATCATTCACTAAAACTTTAAAGAGGTAATTATTTGGTGAGCCAAGAGAGAATTTTAACCTTGAAAATATGTCACACAAACCCCATCGCAATGTCATACCAATCACGTGCTCAAGCGGCCATACAGCGCCACCTTGTTCTGAATACAAAGGTAAAAATAAAAAATTATTTATCAATGGACACTTTAATTTTTTTACTAAATCAAGAGAAAATATATTAATATTTATTTTATATATGACACTTAAATACAAAAAATGGCAAAAAATCACTATTTATAGTGTTTATTTTCTCCCTATAAGGCAGTGTCTGAATTATGTGGATATCTTTTTCTAACAAAACAGTATATTCTCTAAGGATATAAGGAAAAGAGACTTTTTGGGTCATGTGTGCGACTAGACCTCCTTACTCATCTAGTCTGCGACTCTTTACCCCAAGTACATAGATCCCACCTTGGTAATAGAGCTGTCTACCTAGACGAGAAAGCTATCTGTCGTCTCTAGGAACGTTCCACTTGCCTTTAACTAGTTTATGGAGTTGACTAGGGCACTGGAAAAAGAAGTGAGTATTATTCTTTCATTTATCATATTTATATAGTTATTTTTATTATTGGTACGTAATAAATCACCACAAAAATAATAATTTTTTATATCAAATATGGTAAAAATATTCATAATAATGATAAAAACACTAATAAAAATGATAAATTAACTACAAAAATAATATATTTTTTATTTATAAAATGACCCACAAATTTTAGAGGTATCAATACCAAAATTATTTTGATGGTATTGTAGTCAAGTCCGTAGTTTATTGGCATGCACTAAGTCATACATGTGTGACCACCCTCTATGAATACCTTCTTATCTTTCATAATAAGGGACGCATTACTTGGGATCTCTTTTCTTGGGCAATGCCTTTATTTATGCCCTAAGCCTTAGAGGAGAGAACCCCCCCCCCCCCCCCCCCCTTGCTTCCCTCTCCTTATCCATCATTTACACTTTACAATCCCTCTAGCAATATATGAACCCGTTTAACTCCTTATGTATGTATATTTATCTTATGAGAAAGAAAAATGCCACAAAAATGTATGAATTTTACATGTAGTTTTTATTTGTTGATTTGTTCTTGTTAGATTGTACTTTATGAATTCTTATTTATAATCCTTAAATAATTATTTATTTCAAAAAAATATTTTTCATACAAATATGTATGAATGGTGAAATAGATTAGGGAGACTAGAGGGGTCCCACATTTTGGCACTCATTTTACAGATGGCCCACCATCTGGAAGGTATGGAACTGGAAATGGAGGTTATAGGTCCTTAAACTGTCCAAGCACTTACTTTATATCTTAATCAATTATTTATTTCGGCAGATGTTATTCTTAGCACTCATTATTAGTTCTTGAAACTTTAATGGGCGACCCAACCTATTAATTATTTGATTGAATTGGTCAAGAAAATGAATAAATTATACTAATACACCTTAGGGTATTAATAATTGTAAAGATTCCCTTACTATTTTTTTTATAATTTACCATCAACACTTAGAAGAGTTGTCACATAAGGGGTATATACTTTATACATTGAGCAATTTGCCCATGTATGTTGAAGCTTTTCAAGGTTGGATTTCTTCCATTCCCAATGAATCTTAATCAACCAAGGATCATTTTGGCCACCTTCACTTCTTGTCAACTTGCACCACCATCATAACCAATGAAAATCCAACCACACTTCCTCTATATGTGTGCACACGCGCGTGCGTATCTAATTACATTGCGTCTATCTTTTGTAAAGAATCTTAGTCTGGTAAATACTTGATTTGTTGGCTATCTCAATCCACTTTATTAGAGTCACTCGTCATTGTGTGGAATCTGTCCCATCAAAGAGAGTTTTTGTTTTGATACCACCTTGTAATGTCTCTATCACACCATTAAAAAATTGTTCAGTAATGGTCAGGCCAACGCAATTTACATTACATTATGATGGTTAAAGGCAATAATATCATAAAAGTAGCCTAATAACATTTTTCTCTCTTGATAGTGTGGGACTGGATAGAAAGACTTGACTCCTCAATATTATCTCACCTCATTCATCCTGACCCTTGGCCTCAAGAGTCTTTGCATGTTATTCTCCTAGCTTCCACAATAGTGACCTACTCCATGTTTCACAATAGTCACCACCACCGTTCGACTTCTTTTGCAATTCTCGTTACACATTAGGATAAAAAGACTCTTATGTTTCTCTCTCTCTCTCTCTCTCTCTCTCTCTCTCTCTCTCTCTCTCTCTTCATTTGGTCAAAGAGAATATGAGAGATAATGGATTAGTTGTTGTGTTTATGTTTTAGGAAGATTTTCAGGTAGAGTAGTGGGGAGGTTATTTTGTATCCAACATCTTTTTTGTATAAAGGGAAAAATAGGCAATTTATGGCGATAAATTTATTGACACCGTCTCCTTCTATGAGTATTTCTAACGGTCCTTCAAAGACAGGGTATGAAGTTAAAACCTAAATCAAACGGAAGTATATTATAATTTTAAAAATAAGAAGGTTGTTCCCACAAACATTGAAAAGTCGAAGGGACCTTAGTATAATTTAGCCTAAAAAATAATAAGGTGGAATTGGTGGGAAACATGTCAAAGGCATGACTAGACTTTCATTTTGTTAGTGGTTGTACCTCACATATATATTCTGGATTTTTATTAGGTTTGGCACATCTACAATGTGTAAATGTGTAATGTGTCATTCAAAGAAAAAGAAAGGAAGAAAGATAGATAAGGACAAGAATAGATGAGCATTTGGATGCTTTGACATTAAAGAGTAAGATGATTTACATTAAGATTGATGGTTTTATCCTTCTCCTAAATATTTAAGTTGAACTATATTTCTCATCCTTTTTTTAATGTTAAGGTAGCACACAAAAATAGGCCTTACCCAGGGCTTAAGCTTTTGTCGATAGTAACGTGTAAGAGAGATAAGTTGTAGATAGTCTTATTCTTGATTTAGATAAATTAATTTTCATAATCGAACTCACCTTATATTACCAAATGCGCGAGTGTGTGCGTGAGAGAGAGAGAGGGATGCAAGTTGCTCTATGACATTAAACTATTGTGAAGCAAACCATAAAAATACAAAAAAAATAAGTTTAATGGAAGTACAATGAGATAATGGGTAGAAGCAAATATATATATGTTTGTATTATCTAACAAATAATAAAATGTTGTGGTTATAAATTATATTATGTTGATTTAAAGAAATAAAAAAAAATTTTTTATTTTGGTCATTATATAAACTGAAGAAATTAATAGGAAGTAGTAGTGTTGGTTTTTTTTTTTTTTTTGAACATGATTCCCTCCACATTTCAAAAATTAAATATTTGTTTAGTTTGCGTATCAAAAAATAGTATTCAAAAATTAATTTTAGAAAATTGTTTTTAGTGTTTTTTGTGTTGTAAAAATTGTTTGATTATATAATTTCAAAGACAGTTCTATGGAGTATAAAACATTGAAACTTATTTTAATAATA